ACTATGCTCATTGGATTGAGACTTTGAGGAAGAAGTCTTGAGAGCAGTGGATTTCTTTTCAGTTATCTTTGTTTTGTCCTTCTTTTCTTTCTTTTCATGTTGCTCTAGGCTTAGGAGCACTTGTTCATGCTCTTGCAGTTTTCCAAACAATGTTGTTAGATCCAAAATTGTGAGGTCGTTAGCTTCTTTGATGGCGGTTACCTTTGGCTGCCATTCCCTGTTAAGACATCTCAAAATTTTGTTAGTAGCAACATCAATGGCCACTGGCCTACCTAGTGAATGCAATCTATTAATGAGATGAGTGGATCTCTTTTGCATGTCCGCAATGGTTTACCCCTGCTCCATATAAAAGAGATCAAACTCTTATAGTAGTGTGTTGATTCTTGCTAGCTTAATATCATTGGTCCCCTCATGGGCTCCTTGCAATGAGTCCCACATAGCCTTTGCCGTTGGACAATGAGAAACCCTATAATATTCATCAACTCCTAATGAGGAGATCAAAATATTTTTGGATTTCCAATCATAGTTGTATTTCTTTTCATCATCATCGGTCAATTGTGCTTCGGGCTTAGGCACAATCTCATTATTCGCATTGGTCATAGTTATTTCTATTGGACCATTGAGAATAACATTCCACACTTTTCTATCTATGGAATTAATGTGCACCCGCATACAGTCCTTCCAATAATTGTAATTTTCTCCATTGAAAACGGGAGCTCTATTATAAGCCCCTTTAGGTTCGTTAGCTATATTCTACAAAGTTATACTTGAAGCACGGAGTGAACCGGTGCTTCTGATACCACTTGTTAGATGATGGCACGGATCTAAAAGGGGGTTGAATAAATCCCAATTAAAAAAATTAGTTTGTGCTACCAATTAAAAATTGGTTTTAAAAATATTTGATATGCGGAAGCGGCATTGGAAAAATTACCGTCTATAACGAACCGTTATTAGAAGACTGGATATGCGTCTACCCTATGGATATGATAATGAGCAAAGAGAATCACCACACTAGTCACACTATCAATTGATTAATATCACTAATTGGTATGACTAGTTCCAATGCCTCAAAATGCCAACAAATTACATGGACAGCACAAGAGAATTTTGGTTCAGACAATTTATCAAACACTTGGCGTGCGTAGCACTCCAAGTGAGTTTTGCCTTGAGTAAGTGGCTTTAGCTTCCTTGTACAATAAATTATTGTACTAGAGTTAAAAACAATGTTCAACACTTACTCAAACCAATATTAAGTTTGATGAAATTGCTTGTACTAAAATTACTTAATTATCAAGCAGAAATGAAAGTGCAGAAAATACAAGGCACAAATATTTGTTGAGGCAGTTCCCCCGCCATCCTTGCTTCAGGGTACGTCTGCCCTCAATTCTAACAATAGAATTGAGCTCATATAATATAGATATCACCTGTTGTAATTGAAACATTTATATAAGAATAGACAAGGAAATATACAAACAAACTCTCTTGTTGTTGATGATGATTTCTCTTCTTGTTCCTTGATTCGATTTGAATCAAGTCCTTCGATTATTGTGGATAGACCTCCGATTATAGCCCCTTTGTTGAATAACCTTGCGTTCTTCAAACCCCAGCCCGGCTGATCTCAAACACAAACTAATCGAACCCGAACCTCTCCTTTACAATTCACCGATTACCGCTACTAGATTGACGGAACCCACCGCTCTTCAATCACCTTCGCTCGGCTAAATGTTTGTTGAGACGATTCGTACCAAAAACCCCCCAAATTCGGAAAATCTTTGAGGATGAAACCCTCAAGGTTTTATTCAAGAAAAACCTTCCAAAAACTCAACCCGAACCGGATTCCCAATCAACGGCTTCAGACGTTATCACCTTGAAACAAACCACAATGCACAACAAGAATTGTTGTGTTATGAAATGTTGAAGATGAAGATGATGAGAACTAATGGCACCTATTTCACTTTTCTTGTTTTTGCAATTAACTCAAATGTTTCAATTGTTGTCCTTGAAGAATGAACAAAAGTTCTATTTATAGTAACCCAAACATAACAGACCCAACCACTTTTAAAAATAAGTGGAAAGCCTTCAAATTATGCAGAAATCGAAGCGAGCGGTCGACCATACCAGGACTATGCGTCGACGCATAGTCTGCGGTTTTAGACAAATACAAAATCTCAACAACATGCGTTGACCATAGGTCGGTGTGTGCCAACCAGTGGGATTTTGATTTTCTGGGCACCTTCTATGAGTCGACCGGAACCCTTTTATTTTGCAAAAATGCATATTTTTGTGATATCGACACTTCTATACATAATCCATGATCAACCAAGTATGTTGGACTCAATATAGCTGGTTAGATTGACCTGACATACACACAAGAGAGATATGTGAGATGTGATACGTATTTGCCTTGTGGTGGTAGAGCCAAAAATCCATTCTTCCATGATTGCGTTTTGACATCATCGAAATACACATATGTATGGTATATGAGGATTTGCCCTCACAAGCAAAGCAAAGAAAATTAATGATGCAAAACAGAGTTTGAAAAAGTCAGGGTGACAAATGAAAAATTTGGAAAAGTTGTGATGGAACTTCAAACTCAAGTGAACAAGATCTTGAAGTGGAAAAAAACATGGAATATTATGTTTCTTGTAATCTTATGTGCATTGTTATTTATGATGTTTTAGGAGTACGCACCAGTTTGTATGCATGACTTGGGATGTATCAGTTTGTGTCTGTTAACAATATCAATTTGTATGGATGAGTTGGTATGTAACACATTGTATTAGTTTAATATGAGTTGGTTTGTTTGGCAGAATATTGTTTGTAATAATCCATAAACAAAATGGGTCCAAAATGAGTTGGTTTGATTTGGTTTGCATAACACACTACATAATTCCAAAATTATTCCAAAATGATTTGCATAACACATAAATTGATTTTAATAACACATAAGTTGATTTGCATAAAACACTACATAATTTCAAAATGGTTCCAAAATGACATTGACATGTTCGCAAGACATAACAAAATTCCACAAAGGTTCTAAATTGACATTGACATGTTACATAAACATGTTCAAGATACATTACATAATACTTTTTGAAGTAAAATACATTCTTACCTCCCATTTGTAATTGGACATATCCTCCTGCATCTTGAAATTGGAGTCTTCTTCCTTTTAGCTCTACTACTATCATCATTCTCACATCCACTTTACAGATATTCACTATCATTATCACCCTTTAAATTCTTCTTTATCGTCTTCCTACTTTTTTCCCCCTTTTCTCTTTACATTACTTTCATATCCAATCATATTATCAAGTTCAACTTCCTTCATCTCATCATACCCATCATATTCATTCTCAAATGATACTTCCATAGCATTATCATAATGATAATTGTCATCTTAATTGTCATCAGAACTGTACTCATTATGCACCTCGCCAACATTGTCTGATGCCACTACAACATTGACATCCTTCACTCCAACATTGTATGATCCCACTTCAACATTGTCTAATCCCACTCCAACAATGACATCCTTCACTCCAACATTGTCTGATACCACTACAACATTGGTTGATTCCACTTCAACATTACCTTCTTCCACACTAGCATTACCAACATTCAACTCATCTACAATGTCATCATGCAGTTTATTAAGCAACTCTTCCACCTTATCTACAATGTTAGCAAGACCCTTTTCAACATCATCAACAATACCATCACAATAATCAGACTGAGACAAAGTATGTTGAATGTAGATATCAACATTTTGGTGCACTTTATAGAGATCTGCAATTTCTAAATCACCTTTGTCATCAACAAGGACATTTATCCCAAATAGGGTCCTTGTAATATATTGTCTCAAAGTCCATATAACCTAACTCTTTCAATACACCAACTAACTCAAAATAACTCCGCTTATCAACATTTACTTTCAAATCACCTACTAGTCCTCCTTCATACACACTTAGTTCAAGATCCATGAATTCACCACTGTGATGAATTTTGTGTTTCATAAATTCGTCCATTATTCCTATATTGAGTTTCAAATAGAGTACGTCAAAGCCATAAAACATGAAAAACCCTAAATCTACAAAAAAAAACCTAAATATACAATTATACAAAAATCCCTAAATCTAGGAAAACATGCAAATAATAATTACTTGTGATCAAAATTTCGTCTTTGGTCCTTCAGTTTGCTTGATTTTGCTAACTGCTTAGGGTTCGTCTTCAATCACCTTAATCACCTTCATGTATCTACAGCTGCTTAGGGTTCCTTATTTATGAATAACAACACAACGCTTTATTGATATATCCACGTCAAAACAACGTTGTTGAAGCTATCTTGAGTCACATATCCACCTCATCTAGTAACATGCCACTTGACATCTGATTTTGACTTTGACTAACATCCACTAACAAAAGAACAAACGTGACAAACCTTTAAAAGTTAAAGAATAAAAGTGACACGAAAAAATTAAAGGATCTAAATGAACCCAAATATATAATTAAAGGATCAAAAGTACTCCTTCCAATCTTTTTTATAAGAAACATTTCACTTTTTTAAATTTATTACATAATTAATATATCTAATTTATAATATAGATCAAATACATTAATTATTTAATTAATATAAAAAAATGATCTAATTTTTATAAAAGTAATGTTTTGTCAATCTTTTTAATATTTTTATCCTTTACATGTGACTTTGGTGCACGTTTTGAGCACTAAAAAAAATTCTACACTTCTACCTCGTAGCAAATATTCTATCACCCCTCATTGTTCTCCGAGCTTCTCCTAATCTCACTTAACTCCGACTACTATTACTTGTTTGCTGTTCCTATCTCAGCTTCAGCACATTTACCAGAGCTTCTCCCTAAAATTCAAATATCAGTTTCATACAGGTTTTCCTCATTCCATTCATCTCTTTCAGATTTTTCCATCTCTCTTATCCATCATTATAATTTGTTTCTGTAATATAGTTTCACAAAACTTCAATGGCTTATAGACGCTGTCTCTTGCAAAGAGGGAAACTCATTGATCGGAAATGCCACCCTTCTTTCACCTATATTCTCCATCATAGTGACGAAGGGAAACATGATGAAAAATCTAGTTCAACACGAATTCGTAATTTTATTCAAACAATGGGGGTTTCCTCATCTTCTCAATATAAACAACTTTCTCCACTCGCTGGGTATAATTTCTGTCGATACATGTCGACAATCAATCGCGATTTAGATAAGATTACCGCAATGACTGATGTAACTGATGTTCTTATTGATTTTTAAGTTCTGTTTCCATGTGGTTTGAATTGCTTTTTGTTCCCTCTCCATTTCTGCCTTGTTTTGGGAACTCTTGATGTTTGCCTTCTGTTGAGGCACATCCCTTTTGATTTTCAATCTCCCCTTTTGACCCCTGGTTCCTGATATCTTGGGGATCCTCTGAGATTTTATTTGGCATTTTTAGATGCATTTGCTTATTTTTCATGTATTTTGCAAGTTGCTTCATGTTTGTGCATCTTTGCTGGTGTACTTATTTTGTTTTGCTTCCAAAAGCTTGGTTGTGCATAATTGATGAACCTAATTCTGATTGTTTCATGTTAGGGGCTTGTCATAGGTCTTGTGTGCTAATTCATGGGTCTTTATCATATGCATAAAATGTTCATTTGATCTCATACTTTCATGTTTGCATATTGTGTTTCCATAAGTGATGTTTACTATCATTCTTTGATGTTATTGTTGACATTTGCTTATGATGCTGTGCTTTGGCTTTTGAAATCTCTTCTTCTCACCCCCATTATGTCCCATGACCTTGGAATATTACTTAAGATTGCTTGGTTCCTCCTCAGGAGGAACCTGAAGCTTGCCTAAAGTAATGAATCCATGAGGACTTTTTCTCATTGTTTTTGTTACTTGTTTTCTATGCATCTTCTTCTCCTTTTCTCTTGGGTTTATTCATACCACGACTTGAGGTTGAGATGATCTTGTGGAGGTTCCAGCCCCACACATATTTCCTCCCTCACTTGCATTGCATCTTTGTCTTCCTTGTTGCATTTGTGTTTGCATTTTACATTTGCATTGTTTCTTCTTGTTGTTTCTTTTTCTTTTGTTTTCCTTCCCTTAGGATTTCTAACATCTCTTGTTCAAGAGAGGTTATGATAGACATTAGGGTTCTAACCATGTATAACAACATTAGGCAGTTCCCTTTCAAACTCAACTTTAGGTGCACATTGCATGACAACTTTTAGGGTTTGGACTAGTCCCCCTTAGTTCGTCCTTTTTCTCTTCTCATCTTCACACAACTTCAATCCACTTAATAAAGCTTGACCCTTGTTGCACGCTACGAGTCTTAAGCCATTTGGGAAATGATGATTGGGTGGTTGCCTCTCAATTATCTAGAATGTTAGTGTATGTCCTTCGGACAATATACGAAGCATTCGCTCCTAGATCATAGTCTCTAGTGTAGCATGAGTCGCAAACCAAATTCAAAACACTTCTTCCTTAAAAAAACATAAAAACAATTCAAACTCTTTTTCACCCCTTGGGGTCTTAATCAGGAAAACTCTTTTCATAAACAAGAGTGTTGTTAACTTTCAGTCCTATCGCAAACGGTAACGCCTAAGTCTCCAAAGGTCGAGCTGCATACACAAACTGCTAGAACTGTCTGTTAACCCTACTCGGGTAAAACTTTTGAACAACCTGTGTTCTCGTAAGCCCGAACTACGTTTGCTCTGATCTTTCGTACCAGACGAAAGTACGTAGGCACAAGACGCGATGTTTTGGCGAGCAACCTTCCCCCCTCTTTAGCCGTAGTTAGGCGAACTACGTTGACTCTGACTTTCCCATTGCACGAGGGAGTACGTAGGCACAGAGCGGCGATGCTCTGCCGAGTCAGTTCTTTTTCTTTCTCTTTTGTCCATAAGCCTTTAGCGTAGATAGTTTACACACCCTTTTAGTTAGACAACACATGCGTGGATCCCGTCGAGTACGACGGACGTGAGGGGTGCTCATACCTTTCCCTTGTGTAACCGACTCCCGAACCTAGGACTTGGTTGCGATGACCTCGTCTTTTCCCGTTTTCGTCAGGTTTTTTCCGATCGTTTCCTTTTCCTTCTCTGGGATAAATAACGATAGGTGGCGACTCTGTTAGTCATTGCCGATCTTCTTTTTTCGCAGTAGCGACACCTACTAGTCCTCCTTCATACGCACTTAGTTCAAGATCCATGAATTCACCACTGTGATGAATTTTGTGTTTCTTAAATTTGTCCATTATTCCTATATTGAGTTTCGAATAGAGTACGTCAAAGCCATAAAACATGAAAAACCCTAAATCTACAAAAAACCCTAAATATACAATTATACAAAAATCTCTAAATCTAGGAAAACATGCAAATAATACTTACCTGTGATCGAAATTTCGTCTTCAGTCCTTCAGTTTGCTTGATTTCGCTAACTGCTTAGGGTTCGTCTTCAATCACCTTAATCACCTTCATGTATCTATAGTTGCTTAGGGTTCCTTCTTTATGAATAACAACACAACGCGTTATTGATATATCCACGTCAAAACAACGTTGTTGAAGCTATCTTGAATCATATATCCACCTCATCTAGTAACATGCCACTTGACATTTGATTTTGACTTTGACTAACATCCACTAACAAAAAAACAAACGTGACAAACCTTTAAAAGTTAAAGAATAAAAGTGACACGAAAAAATTAAAGGACCTAAATGAACCCAAATATATAATTAAAGGGTCAAAAGTATTCCTTCCATCCTTTTTATAAGAGTACTTCACTTTTCTAAATTTATTAAATAATTAATATATCTAACTTATAATATAGATCAAATACATTGATTATTTAATGAATATAAAAATATCATCTAATTTTTATAAAAGTAATGTTTTGTCAATCTTTTTAATATTTTTATCCTTTACATGTGACTTTGGTGCACGTTTTGAGCACTAAAAAAAAATTCTACACTTCTACCTCGTAGCAAATATTCTATCACCCCTCATTGTTCTACGAGCTTCTCCTAATCTCACTTAACTCCGACTACTATTACTTGTTTGCTGTTCCTATCTCAGCTTCAGCACATTTACCAGAGCTTCCCCCTAAAATTCAAATATCAGTTTCATACAGGTTTTCCTCTTTCCATTCATCTCTTTCCGATTATTCTATCTCTCTTATCCATCATTGTAGTTTGTTTATGCAATATAGTTTCACAGAACTTCAATGGCTTATAGACGCTGTCTCTTGCAAAGAGGGAAACTCATTGATCGGAAATGCCACCCTTCTTTCACCTATATTCTCCATCATAGTGACGAAGGGAAACATGATGAAAAATCTAGTTCAACACGAATTCGTAATTTTATTCAAACAATGGGGGTTTCCTCATCTTCTCAATATAAACAACTTTCTCCACTCGCTGGGTATAATTTCTGTCGAAACATGTCGACAATCGATCGCGATTTAGATAAGATTACCGCAATGACTGATGTAACTGATGTTCTTATTGATACCGCCACGGAGGCTGTAGCTTCTCAGGCTCCAGTTGTTAGCGAAGTTGCCGTTGCTGCTGCTGATTCTTATTTGCCTATACAAGCCGCGCAGTATGCCATAGATGCCGTGCATTCATTCACCGGGCTAAATTGGTGAGTTTCACTTGCTATTCATTATTGATATGGATTATGGACTTTTTTTAGTTGAATGGAAATTTAGGGGTTTGAGAATTTTCTAGTTACATTGTTCTTTAATGACTTAGTTAATTCCTAATTGATAAAAAATTTAGTGTATGTTTGGTTTAGCAAGGCAAAAACAATTCTAGGATTGGTTTTGGAATGATTTTAAGGTGTTTGGTTCTTCTAAAGTATAATTGATTTAGCCTCCAAAATTGATTATACTTGGAGGTAGACTTTGTAGTTTTTGAGTTTAAACCTGATTTTTACATTGAAATTTATTGTTCCAACTCACTTATGCATAAAGTTATCCGAATATAGATCGCTTTACAATTAACTTACTTTTGTCTAGAATCAATTTTATAGGATCAATTCAATTTTGAAAGAAAACTTTTCACTTTTTTGCTCTTTTGTATCAGGTGGGCAGACATAGTTCTAACAGCTCTCTTGATTCGAATCGCAACTATTCCAATCTTACTATATCAACTCAAGGACACTTCTAAGCTTGCAGTATGTTGTGCTACTTTGCTTTCGTACTTGTTTCTCGCTAAAATGAAGTAACACCAATGACTAATTAGATATTTGTGGTGAAATTTCCCCCTTGGTTCTCTTTTCCATTTTAAAATTCGATGTCCCTGACATGGATTGTAGGGTTTATTCACTCATTTCACCACTCTGTTCCTTCATTTTTATGTCCTTTTGAATGAAGGTCCTAAAGCTTGTTGTATATTTGATAATGCACTTTTCAATATTCCTATCTATCTTATTATTACCTAAGCTTACTGTTTCATGCGTATTGCAGCTTTACACGATTCAATTGAAAGAGATGACGGAAGAAATGAGGAAACAAATGGCTAGGAAGGTAATGGCGGTCTAGTTTATCAAGCCATTTAACCAGTAATATTCGATATAATGTTGTGCTATATATTGTTATGTATGTAAGTTAAGCACAAGGAGCCTCACAAGTTCTATTGTCTTATATCTTGAAATTTTGGTTTGCGTTTTTTTGGGAATTTTTTTGATTGTTCACCAGTAAAGCGTCTAATCTGATGATCGATGATGTCGGTAAAACATAGAGATCAAAATAAACAATTCCACTTAAGTAGTCTTATTTTTTCCATTCATAATGAATGTGACTAAGTTCTCTTGTGCAAGAGGAGCAGATGGAATATGATAGGAACCTGATCCTTGTGGTTCACAGACAACCCATAATTGATAAGCCCTCCGTTGTTACAGGGGCACATTTGTTTTCCATTTGTGTATTGACTTCTGATTGGCAATTGAATTCGTGTATCTACTGTTGGCAAGTCATTTCAATGCTCCATGTTAATGGTGGAAGTAAAACATGTATTCTATTCCATTGCTGCCGTTAAAAGTCCCACATCAAACAATATATGGCCTGAACGTGTTTTTCGGCAACCTACGCGCGTGGGCCTCACACGCCACCACTTAAACTATGCGTGACATCGCGCCGGTGTCTGATTCTGACGATTTTTCCATCGCCCCTCTCGCCTTCCTGTCATTGTTCTAGATCCAGCCTCAAATTTTATTTTCCACTCATGGAAAATTAAACAACCCTTTTTTCACCTTGTTCGCTTGATGCTTCGCTTCCTTCGGATACTCATGGCTGGTCCTGGTGACTCCTCTGGTATCAAGAGGCTCGTTTAAGATCCGGTGAACCACCTGCTATCAGGTTTCCCCTATCGAGCCACCTACCACTTATTTCCACGCTCCATATGTCCAATCCTGAACGCAAGGGGATGTGTTAAGAGTTCCACATGGAATATTATATGGCCTAAATATGTGCTTATAAGTGGGGGTATTCCTCACCCTACAAACCGGTTTTATAAGGATGAGTTAGGCCTAATTAGGGGCATTGTTTTCCATTTGTGTATTGACTTCTCAGATTGGCTTCCCAGATTGGCAAGTCATTTCAATGTTCCATGTTAACAGTGGAAGTAGAACATGTATTCTACAAGCAACATGACTTTCTATTTTATTTCTCTTGGACGTATGCTATTCCTGTAGTAGAAAAGATTGTAAAAAATAAGATTAGATGATTTGGGCATGTAGAGAGAAGATCTATAGATTCTATTGTAAAGAGAGTAGATCAGATGGAGAGAAACAACTAGAGGTAGAGGAAGACTTAGAAAAATTATAAGGGAAACTATTAAAAAAGATTTCGAGATTAAAGAATTAGATAGAAATATGGTCTTAGATAGAACATTATGGCATGTAGTCGACTTCACTTAGTGGAATAAAGCTTGGTTGTTATTGTTGTCGGACGTATGATATTCCTCTATGGACTATCAAGATACCTATGATTGAATCTGTCAAAAATTATTCATATAACTCAATAATTCCTCTGATTTATTGATTAAACGCCAGGAGTTGTTTTCTGATAGAGATAAGTTACAAAGGAATATGGGAAATACAATAGAGAAATGGAGAAATGTAACTGGTAGTAACCTGCTAGGAGTTAGAAAGCCTAGTTCTCTCTGATAGGATGTAGCATCATGACTAATTTGAGTAGTTAAGAATTGTTAGAATAGTTAGTTGAGGTTGTTATGAGATTATTTGTATATATAGAAAAATACAAGACTAGAGATCTTTAAGTGTTGTAAGCATATGTGAATAGAGTAGTGACTTTAATGTGACAAGGAAATTTTAGGGGAGAGATTTCTCTCCTATTCCATTTTATCCTTTCTCAATCATTCGATAAAATGTTTATTCTTTTCAATTAGATTCTTGGGATCCTAACCAATTGGTCCAACATAAGATGCCACTCCTTGCCCCAGAAAGACAGGTGGCAACATTGGAGCTTTTAGCTAGCAAAATCACAGCCAAAGCTGGATGCACTTAAACTACAGTCAAGATGAATGTGTTGCAATCTGCAGTCAATTAAATCAAAGAAATTAGTGTTGATTTGAAAACCATAAACAAACAAACCCACTGTGCCAGAAGAAATCTCTATGCACAAGAAATCAATCTTAGGAGAGGTCGGAGATCATGGGTATGATGTAGAAAGAATTAGATGCCAGGATTGCATAGGATCAAAAGATGGATCAACAGAGGCGAGAGAATAATGGATTCTTGGAATCAATGAGACATTGGTGAAAATTGACATTTTTGGAGATAAGAGTCATTGGTTGATGGTAAAAGTGTATGTCCAGCAGTCAACCAATGATCATGGGTATGATGTAGAAAGAATTAGATGCCAGGATTGCATAGGATCAAAAGATGGATTAATAGAGGCGAGAGAATAATGGAATCTTGGAATCAATGAGACATTGGTGAAAATTGACATTTTGGAGATAAGAGTCATTGGTTGATGGTGAAAGTGTATGTCCAACTGTCAACCAATGAGATGAAGAAGAGTGACAAAAAAGTTGGTGAGAATGGGCTGTTTTCATAAGAGGCAGAATCTCACTACACGTATAAACTTATCGTAGTGGGTTAACGTGGAACTTTTAACTCGCTCCCTAACGTTCAGGATTGGATATTTGGAGTGTAACTTAAGTGACCAAATAGCGGGAATTTGATAAGAGGTGGTCAAACAAATCTTGAATAGGTTTTGATACAATATTAGAGTTTGGGTTGAGCTTATTTCAGCCTTACAAAACCGACTTTTAAGGTGAGAATTACCCCCACTTATAAATAAATTGTAATGTCCTATCTCATAAAATTTGGAATTCTCTACACTCCCCTAATGTCTAGGACTAGATACTATGTTAGTGTTTAGGTTGGACCTATCTGAACCTTACAAAAGTGACTTTTAAAGTGAAGATTACCCGTACTTATAAACACATTGTTAGACCATATCTCATCAAATGTGGAACTCATAACACTTGTTAATTTTAGAGAATTCTAGTTTATATTTTATGACTGGTGTCTAATCTTAGAGTATCTTAGTTTATCACATAGGATTAGTTTTATATTGTTTAGAGTTTAATTGGTATGTATTGACAGTGTAAAGTAATTTTACACTGTCATTTAATAAAAATATATTAATCTGTCATGTCATATAGTTAACTTAAAATTTACAGCCTGATTTGGCGGGATGCATGAGGGTGATTGGTTGACAGTGTAAAATCAGTGCATACCAATTAAATTCTATTATTTAATATCATGATTTCTTTCATAATTTTCATTTATTTAGGATTAGGAGTCTTGTGTCTTAATACTTAGGGATTAGTATTTAGTCTTCTGTATAACTTCAAAATCCAAATATTAGCTATAATTTTTTTTTTATAATTTAAAACTAACAACTTCAACAAAATCCATTAAAAAAGATTTTCAGTTAAAATAATAAGTGATTTGTCTATGAAATAATCTAAATACAAAATGGGTTCTTTGTCATATTGGAGCAATGAAATGTATTTTGTTTTTGATTTTCGTACATGCATGTTATACATTGTTATATCAAAGAAAATTTCACTCTACTCACAACAAAATCTATTTTTCAGACATTGGATCGAGAGGATGCTTTAAAGGCTCTTGTTGAATGTCAGAGGCCGCATATAGAGCGACTCAGAGAGTAAGCGATTTCATAGTTTGTCTAATGCATAACTGCTAGTAGTCATTATTGATCTCCAAATTTAATGCAAATACTACATTCGGTAAATACTACTACTGACATCTGTCTGTTCATTATATAGCCAGCCACCTGCTACAGCAGGTCACACTTTGCTCATATACATGCAAGTGTTGTAACTATTTTTGTAGCCAATTCCAATCAATGAAAATCAATTACTATGTAAGCATGTCTTGGATTTGTGGATGGTTGAAGAAAATCAAGTAAAACATGCAGTTATATGCAATAATATACTTAGACAAAAAAAAACCAGTGTAACACCCGAGGCCGACAGGTAGGGAGTGGTCTCGGGTGCAAAAGGTATGACAATGAGTGGTTTTTGGCAATTTTTAGGCAAAAACCGAATACACATTGGAATAAGAGGGATCCTGAGATTGTGCAGCTATGAGACTGCATGGTTGAAGGAAAACTTATAAGGATTGATTGATACTATCTATACTAACAAGATGAATATTTTTTTCAGTAGTCTAACAAATAAGAACTCCATAGTTAAGCGTGTTTGACTTGGAGTAGTATTTGGATGGTGACCTTCTGAAAAGTTTCCTGGAAAGTGTCTGAGTGAGGACAAAGCATGTTGAAAAGACTTGAGTTGGTTTGTGGGGTCAGTCGATAATCCTAAAAGCAGTTGGAGGCGTTACAAATGGTATCAGAGCATACCTCTCCCAGTACGATGTGGTTCAGAGACGAACTAAGCGGAAGCAGGTGAACATGTAACACCTGAGACCGACGAGGGTGGGGAGTGGTCACCGGTGCAAAACGCATGACAATGAGCAGTTCCTGGCAGCTTCGAGGCAAAAACTGAATAAACATCAGAATGAGAGGGATCACAAGACTGTGCAGGTATGAGACTAAATGGTTTAAGGAAGACTTATAAGGATTAATTGATACTACCTATACCAACAAGATGAATCTTTTTTTTCTGTAGCCTAACAAATAAGAACTCCATAGTTAAGCGTGTTTGAGTTGGAGTAATATTTGGATGGGTGACTTTTTAGGAAGTTTTTCGAAAAGCGTGTGAGTAGGACAAAACATGCTGAAAAGATCCGTGTTGGTTTGTGGGGTCAGTTGGTAATTCTGAAAGCAGTCATGGGCGTTACAACCAAGTCTTACATCATTTTGATTACACTTACGTTGAGTGTTGATATAGCATACACAAACCTTACATAGCTTGTAGGCGGGAGAGATGTTGCAAAGACGCGACTCTTAAGCCCAGAGCATTTCTTTTAAAATTGGTGTTAAATAATTTTTAAATAAATTTCTAAAAAAACATAATCAAATATATTAATTTATTCTATAAAAAATATTAATTAATAAATTATCCTAGTCATCACTGTCACGTCATTAAATGTAAATTTTTCATGTCATCTATGCCACATGTGTAAAAATTGAAAAAATCCCAAGAAAAGTAAAGTTGAAGGATCAAAAAGTTGGATTTTGAAATAGAGGGATCAAAAAGTTAAAAACACGTAAATAAGGGGACAGCAAATGTATTTAAGCCTATTAGTTATTATTATCTTGATTTAGGATTGAATCGATCTATCTCTTTAAATAGGGATTAGTATTGAGTCTTTAGTATAAAGTCAATAACTATTATCAATAATACTTTTCCCTCATCTTTTATTGATAATCACAAATTCAACATGATAATATTTATGTTCACGCTATAAAAGTCAAATCTTAGGGCGTGAGGGGGTGTGATAAGAGTCCTACATCGGACATTATATAATCCAAACATATATTTATAAGTGGGACAATCTTTACTTTACAAGCTGATTTTGTAACGAGGAGTTAAAGCAACCTCTAATTCTAATAAAGGCAATGTGATTCAAGCAATCTACACCAATTTAGACCTTGTTCCCTTACACAAATGAATGTGTCGTCATACACATCACCAAAATGGTGCTGTGGAGAGAAAGCACATACATATAGTGGAGTTAGATCTTACACTTTACAGTCAAACATCTCTACTTCTCACTTATTGGGACTCTACCCCTCACTTATTGGGACTATGTCTTCCATACCTCACTCTACCTTATCAATAGACTATCCATAACACCCCTTAATTTCGAAGTATTATAATCTCTTGATTAATTAGCCACCTGACTAATGTTCTTTAAAGTCTTTAGTTCTGCTTGTTTTCCTTTTCCCTCTACTAAAACCTTATAGCACTCACAAATTTGACTCAGATTTCATGATTGGCTCTTCTTAAGCTACTCACCTTCTCATAAAAGATATAAGTGTCTCTCTCCAAGTGGTAGAATGTACATCTCCAAAGATGTATTCCTTCCATTCTCTTTTATAAGCAAATTTTAATTTCCTAAGTTCATTCAATAAATGATGTATTTGGACTATATACAGGTTAGATGCATTAATTACTTAATGAATGTTAAAATTTGTTTATAAATAAAAATGGAGGGAGTACTCTTTAATGAGTCCATGTTCCCCAATCTATTCTCTTTACTAAAACCACTTCATCCCCCTTAACCAAAACCCATGTTACATTCTCTTTTTTTCTTCTCCTTTATCTACTATTTGACTAATCCTAGTCTATCCCATGATTTACCTAACTCTAATTTGTCCATTCCTTCATCTTGAGAAACACCTCTCAACTTTACTTCTCTAACTCTACCTCTCCACCATAGTATGCAACAACGGGGCTATCCTGCTATAGCGGAGCAGAGTGGAGGCCGGCCACTAAAGGAAGAACCTTAGCGATGCATATCACTATAATGATCTCTATATGGTAAATAGTGAGATAACGGAGCGGAGAGGTTTTTGGCCTGCCATCCTTTTCCCCTCTATAAAACCAAAATTACCCCTTAAACTTACAACATTTTAAGGGTAATTTTGGGTTTTTCAATCAAATTTGAGTTGAGACTCAACCTTAACCTTCCTTTTTAGTTGTTTATACACTTCAAACGTTTATGCACTTCAAGAGTCATGTGTGCTTTGATTTATGAATATTTTATGAGTTGAGTTATTTGTTAAATTTTACATTTCATGTTTATAATTATTGTATGTAATTTGTCCAAAAAATGATCAAATAGAGCAATTATATCGCTATATGCTATCCCGCTATCCCGCTTTTGGAGTCGGCTGCTCCGCACCACTTTCTGGAAATGACTACTCTGCTCTCCACTACTGTCCATGCTTTCACCTGAGCCGAACACTGGTCCCCAACCTACATAATCACCTCAACCTACCTCATCTAGTCCTCACTCTAGTTTTGTATATGTCAAATCTGGCATCACTCAATCAAGGCTTTAACCTAGAGTGCTACTAACTCACACTAAGCCCAACACTGTCCAACAAGCACTTCTAAACCCTAAATGGAAAGCTACAATGCAAGCTGCGTTTGATGCTTTGCTTAACTTCCTTACCCTCCATGGTGTGCAAGCTGAATAAGATATTATATGGCCTCAAACAGGCTCATAGGGTGGTTTGAACGCCTACAAACTACTCTCCTTTTTTTGAAGTTTACCATTAGTAAATGCAATCCCTCACTTTTCATTTACTCCTCTCACTCTACTATCATCTACCTCCTAGTATATGTTGATGACATCATAATAATTGCCAATTCTACAGAAGTCCTACACCAACTCATTACTAAATTCAACAAAGCCATTTCTCTCAAACACTTCGGGTGTTTGAGACTATTTTTCTTGGCATTGAAATGAAACACGAGCTTAATGGCTCCTTACTACTAACTCCGCCAAGTATTTAAAAGATTTACTTACTAGGATTCACATGTTGGACTCTAGTCTAGTCTCCACATATTGGAAAGATCCATAGTCTTATATAGTTTGAAAAAAGTTTATACAGAGTCACTCCCTTCACCTTACAACCTTACAAGCCGGTTCTGTAAGGATGGGTTAGGTCAAATTATAATATGGTATAATAGCCTATCAATCGTACCATGGACCACCTACCGTTAATATCCACGCACCAAGCTCAAAAAAAGTGTTGGACATGTGGGGGTGTATCGGGAAGATCCCAAGTCCCACATTGGTTAGAGATAGAGTCTTGAAAGAGTTCGTATGGAGTGACACCTCTTTCCTTACAAACTGGTTTTTTGGTTAGAGATAGAGTTTTGAAAGAGTTTATATGGAGTGACACCTCTTTCCTTACAAACCGGTTTTGTAAGGATGAATTAGTCCAAACTCTAATATGGTATCAGTTATCAAAGCCTATCGATCAGACCATGTACCGCCCGCCACTAATATCCATGCACCAAATCCAAAAAGAGTATTGGACGCAAGGGGGTGTATCGGGAAGATTCCAAGTCCATACAACTTGAAAATAGTTTATATAGAATGACACTCCTTACCGTATAAGTCGGTTTTGTAAAGATGAGTTATGTCAAAACTCTAATACCACACCTATACAGTCTTCAAGCAAACTCAGCAAACATGGCCCTATGTCTTTGGATTATCCTTACATGTATAGATTTGTTTTGTTGTTGGGGTTTTTCAATATGCCACCATTAGAAGACCAGAGATTCATTCTCTATGAACAAGGTTTGCCAATTCATGTCTTATCCCCATGAGTCTCATTGGGCTGCTGTCAAGAGGATATTAAGATACCTCAAAGGTGCTCTTGACAACAAACCTCACCTATATGCTGCACCTGTCACTCAAGCTCCATCATTGCAAACTTATTGTGATGCTGATTGGGCATCGATCCAGACGTCAGTAGAAGCATCTTAGGAGCTGTCATTCATTTTGGCTCTAACTTCATTTCTTGGTGGTCTAAAAAGCAAGTAGTTGTGGCTAGATCCAGTACAGAAGCCTAACCCATGTCACTGCTGAACTGCTTTGGGTTCAGACGCTTTTGACTGAACTAAATGTCACTTGCAAGTTCCCTGCCATATTATTTGACAATCTACTTGCACACAGTCCCATACTTCTTGCAAGGACCAAAAATATGGAGATATACTTGTTCTTTGTCAGGGAGAAAGATCTAGCTAAACAACTCAATGTTGTTCACATTCCTGGGACAAGACAGTGGGCAGATGTTCTCATTAAACCATTATCCTCCTAAAAACTAATTTTGCTCGGCCACCTTGAGCTGAAGGGGGGGGGGGGGTTATTTGAGAATATCTCCTATAACCCTTGCATAACTAACTATCAAGTTAGTTATGATAAAATGTGAGCTGCTGTTATTGTTTGGAAGTTGGTAACATAACCAACTCGTAGAGTTAGTTATGAGAACTGTTCTGATGATGACTGACATCTGTCAGTACATACAGCCACTTGCTACAGCAGGTCAGTTTGCTCCTATATAAGTGTTTTAACTACTTTTGCAACCAATTTCAATCAATAAAAATCAGTTACTATGGATTTATGAATCCACACGACAGTTTCTAACACATCGGAGTAATCTTTGTGGTGACTTGTGATTGCCATAACTTTAATAATTTCGTATAATATTCAGTGTCGCTAATATTATTGCTTCATTTTGATTCTGCCGTTTTCATTAAACTTTTAAAATTCTGCTTCTGTAAACAGTCAAATGAATTAGATATTTAACAATTTCTTTTGGCTACAGTTGTGACCACAGTAGTTGTATGAAAATTCATTATGATTAGCATTTTAGAATGTATGATGTAATTAGTCTGTGGCTCTAAGGAACCTTTATTTTAAGTAGTAAATCAAACTTCATGGATCTTTTGTTTCATTAGAGATCGTTTTCTCTTGCTTGGTTAATTGACGCAGATATGGTGTGAATCCATTTATGCACCTCATGCGATCCTTTATTAATTAATTTGTCTTCATTGACACAGAAAAGGTGTGAATCCATATCTGTCCTTCACGGCATCATTCATTAATTGTTCTGTCTTCATTACTTTTTTTCTTGCGGTAAGCTAACTTTTGCTTTGATATTCCCCCTAATTGTAGGATCTGATGAGCCTTAATATTGTTTCTATCCATCATAATTTTATTATATTTTGTTTAATGGCAGATAACAAACATGGCTGAAAAAATGCCATCATTCAAACATGGTGGAGCTTTCTGGTTTACTGATCTGTCAACTCCAGACGCCTTATATATTTTTCCAGTTTTAACTGGACTGTCATACTTAGTACTAGTAGAGGTGTGCCCTTCATTCCAGAAACTTTACTTTCAACTTTTCAATTATCTTTCTAGTTTTGTTTTTTGATATCTAAATGTTTGTTTGGTCATACGTTTTTCTTTTTAATTTTATTTAGTGATCACTAAAACCCGTCATTTCATCTGGCAAAAAAAGAATTTAAAATTGAGAGGACAAGAGTGGTCTTATGGTTTATCTGTTATATTGGATTTCCAATTAAGATGAACAAATTTTATATTGTTCTTCAGTGTGATATGCAAAAAGGAACGGAAGGAATTCCTTTATCTGGTATGAAGAAAAATATCTCTAGGGCTCTTGCTCTTCTTATAGTTCCTTTCACCATGAGTTTTCCAAAGGTAAACTTTCCTAGCCAGGTCTTCTTTTTGAAATGAACAACTTCCCTTTGATACCACTTGTGTATGCATTTGAATTTTTTTTATTTTTATGAACTTAAGTAGAAACATTAGTTTTGTCTGTCAGATATAAATACCTTTAGTTCTACTCTTTCTTTGTTCTCTTCTAACTAGTTAGTTTTCATTCTGTTTGTACAGTGACCGTTGTCACTTATTCTGCTTGTATTAACAGCTGTCACTGGCTTATTGGTTGCTTAGAAAGCTGGATCAGCAAGACTCATAGTTAGTTAGAACCTCAGGCTATTTATAGCCCTGAGCTTTATCATTGAATTGTAACCAATTCAGCCTTTTACGATTAAATAGATTGGTTTATCAATCTTCTCGCTAAAATCTAAAAGTCTTTGATATTAAATAGCCCCATGCTCTAGTTAGATTATCTCCGTATAAATTTATTTTTGCACCGGGAGAGTATGGTATGATGGTAAAATATTTGCGGCTATGTGATTAGACTAGCAAATTTGCAGCAACATCCATAAAATAAATAATCAGCTCTCACATTAGATAGCATCTATGAAGCCTAGAAGCTTGATATGATACAGAGGATACAGAGATACTGGAAAATTTATAAAATTCAAGATAGATATAGGCTATGGCCAAGATACTTTAATAAAAGACTAAGTTAAAAATAAATAATATATATAAATGCACAATATGGAAACATAACTAAAAATAATAAGAAAGATTCAATTATTAGAAATGATCAAAACAACTGACAATTACATTGTTTAGGCACCAATTAGAAATATAACAAAATCATCATTAGTACTATCAATAAAGAACATATTAGTAATATTCAATACTTAACAGCTAACTCTAATTGTGCTGGGCTCTCTTCCATTCTCATCATCGAGAAACAACAAAACTTTCTATTCTGATTAATATTCTCTCGACTCATTCTCACTTATATATATAAAAGTTCTTCTTAAGAGAATATGAAAGAAAAGGTTTAAAAAGAATTGTGTATGATGTATTTTTACTGTTCCTATGTATCATGCGTGTTTCAGTTCCCTTCCACCACCGTATCTTACGTGTATCCCATATGTATTGGACAATTTTTTTAAAGTTAAAATATTATCTTTTGATTCATAACAAAACAACGTTGTATTCCTGTTAGAAACTTAAAAAATTTATTTATTTTCCATATTTTTAGTAAAGAAATCTTAACAATCATGAAAATTAATACTGAAATTAACCTTAAATTGAAGAGTATCTTCAAAAGAGCTATTATGCATTATACATTATAAATAAAGATAGATTTTTTATTCTCCTTTTTCATTACCCATGTCATTATACATAATAAATTAGATTGTACTGTAAAGAATTTAATGGTGTTTGACTAATCAAGTAGAAAAATAGCCTGCTTGCTTTTTTTCTTCCTACTACTGCTCCTTATATTTGTCAGTCGATTTAGTTTGAACTTGTGTTGTATAATTTTGCAGGCTGTATGTTTTTTCTGGATTACATCACATTTGTTTTCAATTCCGTATGGAATGGGTAAGGAACTTTAAAATTCTCATATGCAATATCACATTGTCATTATTTGCTGTTTCACTATGCTGTAATTTGGATTTGTTTTCATGAAATGCATATCTCTTGGGGCTTTGATTTTGCTGATATTCATGATTGCTTTTAAGTATTGTGGATGTCACTGTCTTTGAAGTTCCATTACACTAAAGATAAAAGTGTTGTCATTTGTTAGTGTTACATAATTTCAACCTAAATTTTGTACTCCAATCATGGATAATGACCTCAATGTTTTTCTATTACCAATTTTGCAGTGCTTAAAGCTCCCGGTGTAAAGAAAACTTTGGGTATTCCTGAAGTAAAGAAATCAATATAAAGGAGGAAAAGCAAGAGATGATTAAATTTACTAGTTTCTTAATTATGCCATAAAACATTCGCGGCAAATATGTTTAGATTCATATGTCATATTGAAAAGCAAGATGTGACTAAGGCTTTTCGTTAACATGTAGATTAAACATAACATGTTAGCATTTTTCTATATTGATTTATTCATGGTATATACACACAAAATACATGAAGGATTTAAACCTTGGGATACAAGCATAACTATCTTTATATGCTCAACATTTTGATGATATAGATTTGCCATACTATCTTTTTGTTGATAAAATGCCATTTTTATTACTATCTCTTATTTAAACCAAACCAGTGTTTTGGTGATTGGTACAAAGAAAACAGGTAATGAAGCTGAAATACAAAATATGTGTGTAAATATATATCGAACAAATTAACTAAAGTAGTGAAGCTTCAAGTTAATCTTCACACTTTTGGTGGAGTTCTTGAAACAAATTTTCTGAACTCTCCTCCAACCATGACTAGCTCCTATAAAAATTAAGAAAATAAACAATTCAAAGTCGCCAATGATGAGTTTTGATATCAAATGGCTTTGAAACCGCAAAAGGGGTTCATGATGATGGGTATATATATATATATATATATATATATATATATATATATATATATATATATATATATATATATATATATATATATATATATATATATATATATATATATATATATATATATATATATATATATATATATCTCGATTCATGGATGGATAGGGCCACTTTCAATTTCCTTTGCTAATTCTCTTGTTAACTTGTCAGCACGATCATCATGTCCGCCAGCAAATGTGTAGACACGGAATACAAATTGGAATGCCCTCCAAAGCATTTGTGCGCATGCCTTTTTTGAACCATTGCTCTCACGCTTCTCCTAAATTAAGATTAATCAAGAAAATGCAAATAAACTAAGTAGGGTTATCGATAAAAATTTGTCGTGAAATTAACGTGCGGTTGGATGTATAGTCTTCTTTGTTCTAACTTTGATGTATTTACCTTAAGTACTAACTCCATGCAGGTGGAGGAAACATCCACCATTGCTTCCTTGATCTTAATAAGAATGTGGAAGTCAAATTCCATGTTGTGACTCTTAAACTTCTTAGATTCATCATCTTTGGTTCTTTCTATAGCATCTAATTCTGTTTTAATCTGCATTTTTTTGCAACTTTGATGGTCAGAATTCTAAAGTAATTGTATTAAGGTCACAAAGGAAACTAAATAAATATACGTGATGATTTTTATATTACCTTGTTGAAATAACGTTCAACATTGTCTAGGAATTGACCTATAGGAGTCACTACCTTCCAGTTTTGAAGTTCAGTAAGGATTGAATCAAGCTTTTTGTACAATGCTGCTGCCATTCTAACAGCTTCCAATTTCTTTGTAGGGAAGCCTTCAAATCGCGATAGCACCTATGCAGCAACAAAGTTGTATTAAAAACTATGATGAATGAAACAATAATTAGTGGAAATGTAACCAAAATGGACATAAATTTTGTTAACTAACCTGTGATTCATCAGTTAGATTCTCAAGGATGGATTCAACATCTTTGTGGAAATTGCTCAATTCGGTCATGTTGTTTGTCTTGAAATTAGTTATTTTAGGTCTCAGCTCTACGATTTGTTTTGTGTACTTTTGAACATCTTCTTCTATTTGGATGAAGTAGGATGATCTAATAAAAGTAGGAAAAGAGAACATTAAGAAATGAGACAGTTGGTTCCAACATTTGTATACAAAGTAAACAGATATAGTATAACATTTGTATAAGTTATTTCTATAAGTGCTTATGCTATTAGATAAATTCAACTAAGCCAGTTCAAACAAATTATGGTGTTGTGGATGGTATAAGAAGCATACCTTTTAGTCATCTCTGCTAGAGCATCAGCCATTCCTTGTTTCCCTCCATTGCTTGCTCCTCCAACAGCATTTTTTCTCCCGGCAGCAGCTGACTTTCCATTTAAGCTAGATCCTTCAACTTTTCCTTTAAGAGTTCTATACAAATTGGCTAGTTGTATTGACCTTTTCAATTTAGTAGTTGCCTTGGCGCGCAAGGTTCTTCCTGCTCCACCAGGAGGAGGCGGTGGAGGTGCTCCTCCGTTTCCATGTGGCATAGGTGGTGGAGGTGTAAAAACCGACCCACCTTTCATAGGTGGAGGAGGTGCTGGAACTGCAGCTGTTGTTGGTGGCGGTGGAGGTGCTGAAACTGCAGCTGTTGTTGGTGGAGATGGAGGTGCTGGAACTGCAGCTGTTGTTGGTGGCGGTGGAGGTGCTGAAACTGCAGCTGTTGTTGGTGGAGATGGAGGTGCTGGAACTGCAGCTGTTGTTGGTGGCGGTGGAGGTGCTGAAACTGCAGCTGTTGTTGGTGGAGATGGAGGTGCTGGAACTGCAGCTGTTGTTGGTGGCGGTGCAGGTGCTGAAACTGCAGCTGTTGTTGGTGGAGATGGAGGTGCTGGAACTGCAGCTGTTGTTGGTGGCAGGGGAGGTGCTGGCATCCTTACTGCTTCTGGCGGAGGTGGCGGTGGAGCTAAAGATTGTGGTACTGCAACATTTGGCTGCAACATAGGCGGCGGTTGTGGAGGAGGTGGTGTTGATGGTGGTGATGTTATTTTATTAGACACCATCATAGATGGTGAAGAAGATGGTGGTGGTGGAGGAGGGGGTGGTGGAGAAGATGAAGAAATAGGCATTGGTTTAGGAGATTGTGGCTGATGTTCTTTAGGAGATAGTGGTTGCTCCACTTCTTCCATAGCTTCATCAATTTTAACTGTTTTGTTATGATGATTATCCTCATTTGTGTTCAAATCCAACGCAAGTTCTTCTGATATATCCTTTATAGGCGTATTATCATCCACTTCTATTTCAGTTTTTGGTTCCTCATCTATCTTTTCAATATGTGTTGGTGACATATTCAAAGAAAAATTCTTAACATCATTTGGACTTAACTTTCCAACAGCTTGAAGTCTTAGAGCCAAAAGAAGTGGCGACGCACAAGAACTTCTAGGACTTTCAGCTGTTCTTGATGAGTATTTCATCAACTCAGGTAGGACAGACCTAGGTGTGAGAGGCGAAGAGCAGCAAGAGAAGCTACTCTCTGAAAATGAGGTTGACCCGGATCCTATTGCAAGTCTTCGAAATGAACTTGACGTTGGAGTTGGACTCTGAATTGGACTGAACTCTTTCTTTTGTTCATATTCTATATCAAACCTTTCACTTGCTAACATCATCAAGTTATCTAGAGTCACCACCATAGTTTCACCTGCACAACAAATCAAACAACTTGAGAGCGCGAATTGTGACAAATTGGTATTTCAAACCGTGCAACTCACAGGGAAAGATAACTGTCGTGAGTTTGGAATATTAGCCTTTTCTCCCATTTCTGATATCCGTTACGTTCGACAAATATCTATACAGCAATATATAATCTGATGTACGTGTAAAACATTTTTACGTTGTCCGTGCATAAGATCATTAGTTACATACCCAATTGACGCATATTGTTGTTATCTTTACAAGTTGGAAATACAATATTGAGCTTGTTCATGCAATCATGCTCCAACATCCATGACTCTCCAAGAGACTTCAAAGCCTTACAGAAATAGGCCATAGCCTACAAAAAAATTATCCATATTTAGACTTCAGGATATATTGGTAAGATTTTAGCAAAAATTATATATTATTTCAACAATTTCATTTTATATGCAGCTACCTGATCAATATGCTTGTCCTTAATCTTTGAGACTTGAGATTTATTTATGATCTTTGGATAAAACTTTTTTAAGTCTTGCAGGGTTCTTATAACTATCTGCAATGTGACAGAATAAAAGTAAATAAAAGAAGCAAGAATAATGAAGCATTAATCAGTGATATCATCGTAATCACGCACCTCGCGCAAGGATGCGGAGCTGTTACATGGAGCTAAGTCCATGATATCTCTGAATGCCATGATCTTCTTATGAATCTCAACCATTAGAATCAATTGGTCTGCTCCTACAAACGATAACTCCATTGAATCTACATTTTCTTTGCTACCCTTTGAAGATCTCTTGGGCGTGCTAACGCCTTTTATCACTTTCAGTCCCTGCAAGTGCTTATACGATATGAATCAATCATGCTTTCGCTAAAATTCGAAACGAAATAATTTTACCTTCCATTTGTATGATTAAATTATACAAATCCAAAAGCATCCAATAAGAGATTATGGTTCAAATTTTACCTCTAAAATACTAGCTTTGCGACGAAGCAGCAATGGCTTCAAACCGCAGAATCCCGCGGCCGCCATGCCTAACCTTGAATCGAAATTCTGAAACAAAAACTAATCATTTTAAAAAACAATATTGAATTCATCAAGAAAACAAAATGGTTATTCAAAATAATCGCAATTGAATTATAATGTACAAACCTCTCAAAAATATATATTCAGGTTGGTAATAGAAAAATTGGAGACATAAGTATGTACAAATATGCATGCGTTTAACGTGAAAATTAGAATGGAACTTTCTCAAAAGAGAAAGAGCCAGGAAGGAAAATGAAAGAGGAAGGGTTATAATGGCACCTTCCTCCTTCTTTTTCTGTTAGATTTTGTTTCAGTTTGTTTTTGGTTATGGTGTAGTGTTTATGTTTTGCTTTTTCGTATAACTCATGTTTTCATGTATGAAGCTTCAAATGTTGGGTGGGGTTGGATAGTTTCTAAAAATAAGGGATTGTGTTAAACCCAAAACAAAACACCTTCTTTTTTTACCTTTTTCTATATTTAAAGAAATTTTCTATATTCTTGTGTTTGTGTGTTTTAAATTATATGTACAATTTGTTATAACATAATTTTCTCATGATTTGGGGAATAACTAATTACTTTTTAGTTTTCAAAATCAATTTTAGACATAAATTTTGACATGCGATGTGCATAAAATTAAGAGTTGAATTTTTTTCTCAATTTTGCTATAAAATTAATGATTTTGTTATGTAATTTATATGGTGTCAAATACTTTATTAACTTTTTTAAATTTAAATAACACTTTTTTCATTATTTTTAATTTGAAATTGTAATCACTATTAATTTAAAAAGATATTCAATTTTTTAAATTAAAAAATGCAACATATTTACTTTTCTACATAAATATAAATAAATACTACATTCATATATTAAATTATAAATCAACCATTTATATTAGTTTAGTTCAACACACAGCCGTCTCAATCAATATTGATACTTAAAGTGAATTATAAGAATTGTGCCTTTTTCAAATTAACTTTTCTATATAAATAATTTAAAGAGAATTTTCTTTTCCACCCGATATATTTCTACTGCACCATATGAAATTTCAATAATGCCCCCTGATTCTGGAGATATATCTTCGGACGCATTAAAAGTAAGTGAACATTAAAATATTTTAGAGATGTATCTCCGAAACATTTTGGAGGTTAATATCGCGCTAGACTCTTCTCTTCCCACACTTTTCATTTTCCTTCAAACAAAACTCTTCAACTCTTCTCATTCTTAATATTCTCCAACTTCACCAAATCTCAATGAAACAACAAGCATCATCCATTTCATCATTCAACAAAATTCAAATCATAAATTTCAAGTATGTTTTTTGAGTTTTCGGTAAATATTCAAGTTATATTTTAAACGAGTAGGAAGTAATTGTTAGAGGTAGAAATGTGTAGAAATCATATGTAACATTGCTTAGAGTTAGTGTATGCATTGTTTGTTGACTCAAATAGACGATCAAATGTTTATTTTTTACAATGCAAGTAGCAGAGGACGCCATTGCCGCGACCTCTGAGTTGCAGAATATAATGGAGATACATTTCCAGAATTGTTCAGCGTCTGAGATATTCCGAAGATGCATCTCTAGAGTATTCAAAGTAAAAAGATTTAAGGTGTTTCCGGAGATGTATCTCCGAAATATCCTGCAGTCTGTTTTTTTTTTAATTTTCAATTTTCTTGTTTGCTTGTATTGTCTGCACTAATGATACAACGTAATTTACCTTACAGGTATTACGGCTGACAAAGTCGACAGACTGAGACATGGTCGGATTTTCTAACAAACATCTATTCGACGGGAGCGGAGGATGCATGTACATCTGGTCAGGTAGAGGTGTCAACTTCAAGGGCACAGTATACTCCTGAGGCTCGGCCTTCACCTCATGCCACTCTATCTCAGCTCACTGCACCTTCATCTCATGTCACTCCACCTTCATCTCAGACTACTCCACCTTCATCTCAGACCACTCCACCTTCTTCTTCTTCTTCTTCTTCTCCTATGAGACGGGATTCACCAACCGACGAGTCACTTCCTCCATCCTCCCGCAGGCATCAGGATGCACCAGTGTCATCTCCTTCTAATTTGGTGCCACCTCCTGCCGATGATCTTGCTTATCGAGTGCCACCTCCGGAGGGTGAGGTTGCTAAAGATGCCAAGCCAAATGGATTCAGAGGAGGTCAATTTGATATGTCCCTACTTCGTCTATATCCATACCATACTTCCAGACATATCTGGGATGGAGAGGTAGCATTAGTCTGATTTTTGATTTTTTTTTGTTAATTAAATTTGTTGACATTAATTATTTATAACATTGATTATTACTGAATTTGATTATTTATGGAAAATCGGAGGCGCGTGACCCCCATAAGTTTATTAACCATGGAAGGAATATTGCTAGCTTAGATCAGTCAGATCAGGAATGGTTTTAGTTGGTTTTGACCTTATCTGGGTTAAGTGACCTATGCATGACCGATTGCACTCTGGCCAACCACAAGATGCTTAATGCATTCGTGGAGAGATGGCATTTTGAGACGTCTTCTTTTCATCCTCCGCATGGTGAGATGCCTATCATACTGGACGACGTCTCGTGTTTGTTACATCTTCCGATCAGGGGGAGATTCCTCGATCATGGTAGGATGACCAAAGATGAGGCAGTTGAGATGACGATGGAGCATCTGGGGGCTGATCCAGGGAAGGAGATTGAGGAGGTGGATAGGACCAGGGGTTTTAATGCTAGGTTTAAGTTCCTGAATGATATATATGATGAGAAGATCGTTGTTGCAGAAGTGGATAATGGTGATCCTGAGTAGGTGGCAGTACACAGGGCCCATGCTTTAAGGGCTTATTTTCTGTTTTTGGTTTGCACTTGAATTTTTATGGACATGAGTGCTACCTATACTGATGTTGCATACCTCTGGTACTTCTTGGATCTCACTCAAATTCATGAGTAAAATTGGGAGGCAAATTTCCTGGCCTATCTGTATTCAAAGTTGAGAGATGGATATCGGTGGAGAACGAAGCAGGTCACAAGCAGCACGACACTACTGATGATAATAATTTTTTATCCTTGAATGTTTTTTTCATCTTATCTTTTTCATTTCATATTTGAAAAACCATTCCCGATAAATCTTGAATCCTGAATGCTTTTTATTTCTATTTTCATTACAGGCTTGGATCCTACAACAGTTCCTGCACATCGCCAGCTAGGCGAGTGTGGGTGATTACACTGAGGATATTCCCCGTGCATGTGCTTTTATCCCGCTGAGAGAGAATCGGGTGATCGAGCCTTTCAGAGTCTATCTTGACCGCTTGGTTGCTGAGGATATCCACTTCAACAACTACATGGATCACCATTAGACATGTTTATTTCATGACATATAGTTATACTTCGGATGGTTGGCCTGCGGATTGCGAATTAATATTCCTCATCTGCCCGAGCGTGTCATACGGAAGTTCAGGTACACCCAGACCATCCTCAGACACCCTGTTGTCTTTGCTCCTCTCGCCTAATCTCGTAGACGGATAATGAAGATGTTTTCTGATTATCAGAGTCACCTGGTACCGGAGGAAGCTCAAGCTACCATAGCGTCGAATGACTGAAGTTACATCGACGTATACATTAGGTGGTTCTTCAGGGTCTCAAATCCGTACATGGTGCTGACAGCTCTAGGAGATCCGCTGAGACCAATTCATCAGGAGATTTTAGAGGAGAAGCAAGCTTAGCTAGATCATACTGAGGATGTCTTGCCTCAGTGTCGTTGCATAGTGGAGATTGCGCGGGCAGACATTGATAAAGGTATCTTTCCTGAGGGGTCTCCTGTCAGGCGAGTCTTGGATGCCATGGTGGTGGAGGTACAAGGGGTACTCTTGTACCGTAGACATCATTAGAGGACGGGGGAGGGGGTTGAAGGCCGAGGAGGCAAATGAGGTTTAAGAGAGGTTGTCAGACACACTTAGTAGTTGTTTGTTATTATTTTGATATTGTATTATAGTTTGTACTTTATTCCTAATATTGTTACTATATTTTGGATCTGATGCTGTACGACATTTTACTATTGTATTGCTATATTATTTCTAACACGCACAATATTAATCTTTTATTAATTTACGCGTCAGTTTTTTCAAATTGAAAACAAATACAAAGCTCATCATTAAAAAAACCTGTTCTGATACACTTCGAAGATGTATCTCCGGAATATTACCGAAGATGCATCTTCAGAACTATTTAAATGTAAATGGAATATGGGTGACAAGTTCTGAATGCTTAACATTTAAAATTATTCTGGAGATGTATCTTGGGAATATAACGACATTTACTCAAAAATAGGGTGCGTCCGAAGATGTATCTCCGGAATCAGGGGGCATATGTGAAAATTCACATGGTGCATAAGAAACATATAGGGTGAAAAAAGAAATTCTCTAATTAAAATATTTTTTTTTATTTTTTGGGCTCTTTGAGATGCAAAATCGTTTATTAAATTATTACAATCGATTTCTTGTAAAATTTCTTTTTCAATAGATGATAAATCTGACTCATTTAATCTTTGTTGATACATTGTTGATCTTAGGTAGAGTTTTTATTAATTTTAATTTTGAAAAACCATGTTCTGCAGAAGCAACACTTATAGGAATGATTAACGTTATTCTATAAGAATTACAAGTATTTGAAAAATAATCAATTCTTTTTACATAATTAATTATGTTAGTTCGTGCGTCATTTTCTACACGTATAATTTCTTTGAAGATATTTTGGTTTGGAAATAAATCAAATACATTAATATATGAGTTTTCATTTAATGAACATTCTAGATTAAGACAATATTCTTTTAACTTTTCATTATCTAATGATCTTATTTTTCAATGTTAAAAAGAAATCCAAAAATATCATTATACAATTTAAATTGTTTAAAACTATTTTGAAATGAAGTTATTTCTTTATCTTCTATGTATAAAAAATAATTAGTTTTAAATAATTTCTCAGGAGATTTTACAACTTCATTATCGATATTCTCAT